ACGTAGACCAGTTCGTGATGCTAATACAAAAGTGAGAATACTTAAAATTCTTCTCTCTATTCGATTTTCGATCTTGTAACACTCAGTTTGACATTTTGCTATAAAATATATCAATTTCAAGGATAAATCTAATACAACTTCCTACATGGTTTGATAAGCAGAACAAATATAGCCATAAAATGAGTCATTATAGAGGCTTCTTCCGGAAATATGTGGCATCTCGAAAATATAAACGTTTTCATCTCAGGTCACTTGTCTCTTTTATAGATAATATTATTTTACAAATGTTTTCATTTCAGATAACCTTCTTCTTTTTATATTATAATATTTTACAATTTTCAATTCTTTCGTAACTTGAAAATTAATAACATTTAATTTTTAAGTTTTTATTAAATTAAATATAAAAATAATTTTAACTCATGATGAGCAAAGTATTGTGTTTTGATATTTCTGGCATAAATTCTGAATCGCAGCTGCTCGTTAATTGATTGTTATCACAACGAATACTTATATTAAATATGAAAGAGTTTGTATACGTCGAATAAAAATCAGATTTTTTATCAAACATCTGAACACTAATACGTATTTACGGTGCATGACCGTGAAAAAATTTTCAATTGCGTTTATCGAGTAATCTTATCGCGTTTCATGAGGATCTGATTTTTAAATGAGTTTAATGATCTAGCTTAGCCAAAGAGCTCTTATTACATCTATTGTGAAACGCACAGCTGCTTCTGTAGACGGAGTAATTTATCGCAGTTCACAGATCGCAAATCACTGATGCAGAAATTATTTTTTTACATACAATATTTACCTGTCACGCGCTTGATTATTTCATCAATTCTGAAATATTATCTTTTGTAACAATAGCAACGAATGTCCTTCATATTGAAAAAAATTATACTCATAAAACTAACTTGTGTTTAATTTTAGCAATAAACGTAGATCGTAAACTAATTTAAGTGTGAAGTAACTCCAATATCGACGAAGCAGTGACATAATAGTTAGTGAATTTTACTTTGCGTTGTACAATGAACGTGTCTGCATCCTGTAAAATATGCTTTAAAAGGTTGAAGTAATATATAGTCGAGATACGATGGCGAAATAAATCAGCGATTTAGGAGGACCTTCATGCTGTTTCAAAATGCCGGAAGATCCGTATGTCACAACTAAAAAAAAAATTTCCCGGAAAAATAATCTTAAGCCATAAAAATTTATTGCTACAGTCAATGCCTTTTTAAGCAAGCATTTTGTTATTAACTGATTTTAATAACAAAATTAATGTTAACCTAGGTTTACAAAATGCTCATTTAAATTACTTATTAATTTTTATAAACTCGTTTCTTACACATTTTATATTTTTATCAGCGTTCTCATTTCTCTTCAGTGGTAAGCGTACTGAAAATTACGATAAAAATTTAAACATTAATTTCCGATCTCATAATCCGAAGGTAACTTCGTTATTTTTTTATTCGTAACTCTATAGAGAGATGTACGCAAATTAAGTTTCTTTTTCTAAAAAGGGCGTAAAAAAAGAGGGAAAAAAGTAAAGCCGTATTGCACGTTTTATGCTTTCGCATTTTACAAATAGCGAGCACGTCAGAACATGTCACTGCGTTAACAGCGGCAGCTTTGTACAGATAAATAACAGCACATTTTAAAACAATTCCCACGTGAGAGGCCCTGCACTCGTTCTCGTATGTATCCGTACAGGCTGTGCATCGGATCGCGTTGCGCGCGCCAGCCACACTTATGACGTGCGCATACGCACGCACACACACACATGTCGGCACGCAATGTTTGCCCTTCTCTGTCAGATGATCCTCTATTGCACGCCTTTGTGCTTTACCGCTGCTACAGTCGATGCGCGCTAATACTCCATCCTTTTTCATCAATGTACATCGTCCGCGTCGAGACAAAAATTGATCGAATTGCTCGTAATATTTTATCATTAGAATTTTACAAGCTATTGTTACAGCGACAAACAAGAAAACATCCATAATGTGACCTCATCTTTTTGTAAAATAACAATAATAAAAAAAAAAAATTAAGAGAGCTGTAACATGCACATTTATAATTTATGTTTAATTTAAAAAATGTATATTTTGATGAATATTTACTTTTATAAGATGTTGAAACACAAAGAGGATAATTACGTCAATTGAAAATATATTAATTATAACGCCTATCCGGCCGCAAATTGTCCAGACCACTTCCGATATTATCTTCACAGGATGTAGCCCAAATTAAATAAGCGGCTACGTATATCCTGCAGACGGCGTGAATTCCCACACATCAACAGGTCTCAGGAGGGCCGAGGACCTCCCCACCTTTGGGGTACCCAATATCCCACTCCGGAACGCACTTTTCCCCACTCTATACGGGTACATCGGCATGCGGTCTTCGAAATCGAAAACGTCAAACAGTTACCCTCAATACTTCAAGCAGGATGTCCATTGGTGACGAAGGACTTTCCCAACTTTGTGTAAACATCACCGCAGGATTTCGGATTCACACATCATTATAAGACCGACAGTTTGCCCAATGTGACCAAGAATCGCTCTATTTAATTATTTGCAATTATGTGCACTTTAACAGTTCTTGTATTTACATTAAAAGATGCTTGATCGATAGAGTTTTAGTGGTTTTTAGTGTAACCGTTTAACTTTGACTTATAACACGTGCGTGCGCGAACTGTCAATCTGGATGATTTTCAGAAGTTAATTTAATAATTAATTGCAATATAAGTGCGTTTGCGCTCGCGCGAAGGTCATGGTAGTCAAGAAACTTGCTTAATGGTGAAAATTATTGCTATTACAAAATGTTGGGCAGCGAAGAAGAACTTGACCCTCAAACACATACCGGAATGACGAAAGCGGAATTAAGGAGGGTAATGAATGTTTCATTATCAAAAAGAATTGTTTTTTTTGTTGTATAAAAAGTTTTTGCGTGTAGAATTAATATATTGATATGTTTTATTTGATATTAAAGTAATACGGCATAACGATTAAAAAATATTTACCATTGTGAACGAACGATAAAATTTAATTTAATTTAATCTAAAATTTAATTCTAATTATTTCAGAACAACAAACCGATTATGGAAAAACGACGACGTGCTCGAATTAATCAATATCTCGATGAGCTGAAGAATTATATACTCGTTAGTGAAAAAGACGTAAGTCACATTTAACTTCTTATTATTTAGTTGAATATGACTCGTGATAAACAACGACATCAGCAAAATGCTCAAATGATAGCGCGGGACTGCCAGTCGGTGCACGCATGATTTTTGTTTGCCCGTGAGATCCACATAGCTGGCGTCGCGTTAAAACATGTTGTAGAAAAACGTGACTTCTGCGCTGTTTATCTAGAGACGTGATCCGTTTTACGAGAGATAACATAAAAAAATGTGCTACTTCTGATCATGCTCCGAAGGACGCTCAGAAAAGCCAGCATTTTTGCACGCTATCTGGCAGTATTATTACTTCGAGAGATTATTATCCTAATTACCTTCCTCGAATTCGTCCGGCCTCATGGTTAACTTAATTCTAATATTTTTCAGAGCAAAAAATATGTTTTTTATTGTCAAATATTATTGTACCATAAAATTGTGTAAGATATTTAGAATAGCATTTAAATTTAGCATTTAGCATTTAAACTTTAGTTTAGAATGGAATTATGTACCTTTATTGATTTGGTATTTAAAAAAATCTAAATTTTGTTACGGTAATACGAAACTCCGAGATACATAAGACTGACTGATCATTGTGTTAGTAGCGGAAGTTGTCATAACGGATGTATATTGAATGTATTTGATCAGGTTGTCCACTGTGGACCCCTTTTTCCCTCGGCATTCTCTGCGACAGGATTCGTTTTAGACTGGATAAAGTGGGAGGGTTGGTTTTGTTTTAGTGTTTTAGATGTCTTCGCGTGGGAAAACAGATGGAATCGGATCCTTGTATATCTATAATCTGTACTTTACAGATTTTACAAGATATTCAAGTTAAAAAAAAAGATAAAGAAACATTTAAAAGAGCTTCCAATTACCACGTTTATTTAAAATTGATGTTACTTTTTATTTTCGAAATCACATTCACCATTTTCCAATACCGTTGAATTCATCAGAAATAATTTGAAACGAAACGTGACCTTTCATAATTGATTATATAAATATATTGATGTATGTTTAAAAAATGAACTTAAACATGAGTTCCAAATAAAGCATAAAACAAAAAAGGAAGCATATGAAACAAATGTTTGAATTGGATACCGACTGATTAAGATTTACCTTACTTCTTTTACGAATCAAAGATTCTGTGTCGCGTAATACAATCCGTTAAGGTTGATTTCTCAAACAAGAATATACAACAAAACAAGACGCTCTCACCATTCTTTCTCTCCACTCTCGTCCAGATGACTTCCGCTACCTGCTTTCGATGTGTCCGTCCCGTTCATCCGTACGAAACGCCCCCTGCGTGTTCGTGGGAACTTTGAAATAATTATTACGAAGAAAAAGAATCTCATCTCAGGTTGCAGCCTCTTTTGTTGACCGTATCATCTTTAAGGATCCAGCTCCGATCTGCGACGACGGTGCGGATCGGCGAAAAAAGAAAGAGATGCGCAACGCCTCTGCTTTCTTTTTTGTCAGTCCTTTAACAGGTGCCACTTCTTCGCTCTTGAGTTCGGGGTGTCAAATTTACTCGCGGGAAAATCGATATCTGCAATGTTTCTCTCTCATCCCATGCAATATTATCCATGTTACATTTTCGCAAGTAATTTATTTTCATGTTACACTGACTTGACCGTATCTGATTTCATCAGGATTTTTTAAAGTTAAAGTATTATTCTATCAAGTCATATAAGATATTTATTATACGATTCCACGTATAAGTAATCCCGTATCGACTCCCACGCTCATTCTTTAGGCGATCACAAATTTACCATAAAAATGTGAACATCAGGATGATCTGATAGGATAAGATTCCAAGAATAGAAAGGATACAATGAACCTTTGAAAAAGGAGGACCATACTGCTATTGAGCTATTGGTGGTTAAAGGGCTGATGGGAATTTTTACGGCATAAGCTCGTTTTGAAGAAGGTCACGTTCATCAGGATATCCGAACCGCTTTGCGATCGCTTTCAAGTATCGAATCGTTTCCCACGATTCAATTGACCGTAAATAATAAGTTACTTAAGAGTAATTTAAGGAAATGTTAAATCCGATTTAATTTATAGATTTAATTAATTATATACATTTACACATATACAATTTCATCATTTATCAAATTATCGATAGATTATTTCGTAATAGTGTGTTTGTGAGAGATAAACATCCCTAAGCGATTCACGCATGATTTGAATAGAACGGGTTAATGATCTATTGCATGTAGCTTAGTAAAGAATCTAGGAGAATGTGAGAGTTAGCACTCCCTTAGGCTGACTACGAAATGGGCTGCATTAGCTACCGTGGTTGCTAGTCTGTTATTACGGTAACAATTCATATCAAGTCAATTACATGGGCGTGTCGCGTTACCATACATTTCTTCAATAAAGGATCGATGTCTGATCAAAGATCTTTTTTTCTGACAAGAAGTCAATCGTAGTTACTATGATTCGAATAAGAAGAAATTCCATTTTGCGGTCCCTTTTGCACTACATCGTCCCTTACCCTTCATCTATCAACTAACTTCCGTGGATAACATAGGGTTCTTTTAATACCGATGCACGTTACGCTTCTAACTTCTCGACCGAAAGGTCATTTAGGTCATTTCAAGGTTATTCCCTTTTAACTCAATAGATAATATAATAATATAATATTCTTTTTTATATATTATCAATTATATCATATTGATACACTTTCACCATTTTTGCTTGTTACAGCCAACCAGACATTCGAAACTCGAGAAGGCCGATATTCTCGAAATGACGGTGAAGCATATACAAACGATGCAACGGCAACAATTGAACACGGCCGTCGCCAACGATCCGGTGGTGCTAACGAAATTCCGTTCCGGATTTTCCGAATGTGCTACTGAAGTAGCGCGATACATCAATCGCCTCGAGAACGTCGACCCTTCCGTCAAGCAACGATTGCTATCACACTTGAACAACTGCGTGAGCCATCTCCAGCAAATGGCGCCGTTCTACAGCCACTACGTGCCCTACATGCCGGAACGTCTCTATCCGGAGGTAAAGGTTGGCTTCCAGAGCGATTTCCAGAATGAGGATGAGAATAACAACGGTAGTGCGAGAATACAAATACCGAACGGAGTCCAATTGATTCCCAGTCGACTGCCAACAGGGGAATTGGCACTCTTGGTACCGCAATCCGCCGGTATCTCCGCGAATTTCCCTTTCTTTCCGCCAGCCACGGATCCGTCCACAAGGGCCGGTCAATCGTCAGCTTTTACCGCGGTTCACCGACCACACAGCCCGCTGCTAAGTCCTACGACTTCCACATCGAGTTATGGCGATGAGAGTTATCATTCGGAACATCCACAGGCGACGTCGCCTAACCATCATCAGCCGCAACGTCGATTCAAATTACCAGAACAAAGTCCTGCATCCTCAAAGAGCTTCTCATCTTCGCCAGAAACCCAGAAACCGCAAATTAGCTCAACTATCGATCGAAAGTCACCCACAATGGCATTCTTGGAATCTAAGACTGTAGACGATAATACCGCAACTAAAAAAGATGTCGCGGAAGGCTTAGACATTACCAACCATACAAACGGCATTGCGACACATAGTATGCGACAACCGCTTTCCGTGATTACAGATAAGACTTACAATCGCGCCCCGAGTGGATCGTTTCTCAAGAGAGACGGTCTCAAAAGACGTCATACCGATGGGCTTTTGGCGATCTCAGATAAGAGAACGAGATATCAAGAACCCACTAGTTCGACCTCCTCGATGAATAATACCAACGTGCTTAAGAGCACAAATGAGCAATCTCTTGTAATTCCGATCGAAGATTTGCCAGGAAGTCAGAATTGCCAGACCCCGCGGAACTCCAATCCAAATTCCGATAAATGTTCGATGAATTCAGCAAGTCCTTTGGGAGTTAATGGTGATATGTGGAGACCGTGGTGACCATTATCATTAAAAATATCAATATGAAATAATTTTCGAAATTAAATAATTTATTTTTAAGTTATTTACTTCAAAAGATTATATAAATTTTAATTTCTGATTTTTAATTGTTATATTACATAATTAATAGGCAAGAATGTGCCATAAAATTGTATTATTTTACATAACTTATCATTTTTTAACTGTTTGCATAAATCAAAATACAACAAGTTTTACATGATACATATCATGCATTTGTTAAATTCCATGTTTTATAAATTCATACTGTGTTAAAAAATATTTTAAATATAAACAAGCTCATTACCGATAGCGAGACGGTTATGTGCCAAAGCATGAAATTAATTAAGAGTATTAAAAAAATGTAATGTACTTGATGCATCATTATGCAGCATCTTCGCCATTTCATAAAGACTCGTAAGCTTTAAATAGATTAAATTATACTTCATTAAGTCCCTTACAGCGTGTAATGTGAATAGATCTTGTAAATATCTTCATTCTTATTTAATTAAAAAAAGAAGAGACACATCCTAATCTACATCTTATAAGTTATAGTTTAAATAAATACTATATGAGTGCTGATTATTTTTTAATGATCTGCGATTTAACAGTGGTCAGTATTGCTAATTAACACGTTCATTGACATGTGGAGATTTTTCTTGTGAAAGATCAATTAAAATTTAATTTAAAATTTTTATAATTTTTTTTATGATTTATGACATAGAATTTTCTAAATGCTATTAATTGCATTTTGTTCGTATATCAAAATACAATGTCCTGATATATCATAACGGCTGCTATCTTACATGGCATTCAACGTGTTAAAATAATATAAGTTTGTGATAAAAAAATATAATGTTGAAATCAGGGATTAAAATGGTATAAAAAGTATTAGTATATCGGTAATATACCAGTATGATATATGTTCCGATATTTATAATTTTTCGGTAATACCGATATTATATTGATATTATAACGGTATTACAAAACATTGATGTTATTATGATTTTCTTGATATTTTATTTTTATGTATTTATTATGTACATTTATATATTATATCATTTCCTTTTTGTATTCAAAATATACATTAAGAGTATATCACAAATCGAACTCTTCTGACAATGTCGATGTTTAGTAATACCGTTACAATATGAGTATCATAAAAATTTCGATTAAATACCAGTAATTGACGTCCAATACTGGTATTCATTAAAAGTTATCAAAACCGGTATTACTAAACTACAGAAATATAGAAGTATCAAACGAACCGAACAATTACTAGCGAAATTATTTTGCTATTCAATCCCTGGTTAAAATATAAATCTTTGAGAAAGACACAATGTTTGTTACTTATTTTTGATTGTTCTTGTATACGATGTATTCATCGACAAAATAAATAAATTTACAGAATGCAAACCAATGCATCTCATTGTAGGTGTTACAATTCTATCTAGCAAAAAAAGCTGCTCCCACATATTCTACCAATATTCCACGATCTACCATATTCCACGATCTCGTAAAAGCACGGAAATTTTCCTCGTTGAGAGAGCCATCGGAGGCGCTTTACCCTTTTAAGGAGCGTTAAACGCGCTCCGATTCATAAACTGGAACTTATTCTTTCCTTTTTTGCCGATAAAGGAGCAAAAAGCTGTGGAGAATGAGAATTTCAACCACCTGTTACACCGCAAAACCACCCGCGTTCTCATCGACTGAATGCTTAAACTGATTTATCGACAGAAATCGCGAACTTTGTTAAATTCCCTTAGTCTTATTCTCGGGACATACGTATTTGCGTTTTTTTTTTTAACTTAAAAACGATTAGTTATTGATATAGAGATGATCAAACAGTACAGTTGATTACATAACCGGAGAATGCATAACAAAAATATACTCAAAATTTATAACATCTGAACAATTTAACAAATCATTGTGAATTTAACATTTGTTTTATCTGGCTGATTTAAATAGTCATAAATATATATATATATGTAGTTGTTACTATAACGTAGTATTATTTACAACCAATTTTAACGTATTGAAATCCTATACAAGTTCGAGCATTGATAGTGAGATGGCGGCACACATGTTCGAGATTAACATTTTTTATTCGCAAATGCAATTATCAAAGATTGGCTCTAAAACTGTAATACTATAAATATTATCTATTCAGTATGAATATATCTAATTTGCTAGAAATAGTAATATAAAATTACAAAACTTCTAACATTTATCAATGAATTTCACATTAAATAGAACAAATATAGATAAATAAATAGATAAAAAAGAGACATGTAAGTTTATCTATTTATAGTATATTGTACTGTCATGTTTATTTTTAGAACCGATGTTAAATATTATTAACCGATGTTAATATTATTAAAAATTATTAGTTAACTATTATATACAATACCAAGATGTTTCGCTTAATTTCAAGTATCAAACGGATTATAAATGATGCTACTTTCATCATAAATTATTATTCTTGTTAACGTAACGAAAAATTATTGGAAAGAAGTAGATTTTGCGTTCGCAGTTTCTTTCTTCGGTTCTTGACGTACCGTTCTACGATGCGCGAGGCATCGAAGTCGCCAATTCGTCCGCTTAAATTCGGGTTTAATATCACACTCTGTTCGGCCCTTTTTGATATTCACGTGCACAATGGGCCTTGGTGTCGGTGTATATATAGATCCTGTCTGTGAGTAACTCCGGTACGCTATATCACGAGTATAAATAATTACTCCGGCGCACAGCAATTACTATAAGTTATGGCGCGGCCGCTACAATTTGCAATGTCAAGACATAAACACTGCTACCGCTTACATTTGAATACATTAAGACGATGGGAGCCTCTGATTGGACCGACGGGGAGAGGTGCGGTCCCGTATCGGTACGTGAGCTACGATCTGGTTGACGATTTTTATTGAAACGATCATCTCGCGGATCTCTTCTCGGCAATCACCGCCGTTGCTATTGCCGGTTGCAGTATATACGGTTGCAATCGCAAACTGCCGCTTGATGGATCCCCATTCCCATTCCGTTTGCGAGTGTACGTTAGAGTGGATCTGCGATTTTCCATTGATGTTGAAGTATTTACGAGACGACAATCGAGAGATAATCTGCTCTTCCAGCTGTCTTATGACAATTCATATTCCGGTCTTCCGTTCGCGATAGATCGGATGCGATTACAGCACCCGAGATGTTCTCACTTTCTTTCACAATTTAGACGTTTGTTTGCGAGAATGGAAAAATGATCGCATTTACAATGATAAGAGAATCTTTTTCTTATTCAACTAAAGATCTCTTGGCCCGGCTTGGCACAGTTCAATTAAAATGTCTAATTTTTGTTGAAAAAGTTGACGGCCATTTCTTGTCGATTTGTGTAATAAATTTAATATTCTGAATTGTTTGATGTAAGAATATTGCGAAATTAGAGGTACGATGATATATATCGCTAGGGCAGATGATGTAAATGCATGGTATGCAATGCCAAAGATCGATAAATCATAGGAAACAACCGTGAATCTGCAATGACGGTGAGAGAGACTTAGTCGCACGCGATCGCAGCTCTATTCTCTCTATTACTAGAATCAAGTTTGAAAGCTTCCCGGACCAACCGTGATCTTGCCGGTCGCCTCATCGATCGGTCGAAAAACGATCGTCGAAAGCCAACCGAGTGCACAGGTTGTTTCCGTTGCGGTAGGCGACTAGATGCGAGTGCCTCCGGACGGCGGATATAGCAATCGCCGAGTGTTTTTCGCGTAGTTGTATTTCGATGGGCATCCGATCGCGAAAGAGAGAGAAAACGACGTCGGGCGCGAAGGGTAAAGGGGGTAATGGAGGTGGACGAGGAGGAGGGAGGGAGGAGGGAGGGAGGAGGGAGGATGGGAGGAGGAGGAAGTGGAGGAGGAGGAGGGAGGGAGGGAGGGAGGAGGAGGAAGAGGTGGAGGAGGTTCCGTCCGCGCGTATGTGCGGCCGCCAGGCCATTTGCCTCTGCGGTCTCTTGATTCCTAGCGACTAAATTTTCATCTGTACTCATTCAAGTTTTAATGTGTTTTTGCGGCATCAGTCATTCAAACTTAATCAACAACCGGTTACACGTCGGTGCGCGAGCGCGACCACACAGATTCGCGCGCCGTCGTCGGTACACGCGTACGCGGGTCGGCCGCGTGGTGCGGCTCCGACTGTGTACGTGTGCGGGCGCGACGGAATATTGGTCGGGCGCACTGTGACGAGAGCGTATTAATTATAACTCTGGTCAGAGGAACGTCAAGAGATGCTTTCGCAGATACCTACGATAAATTGTCGGTTTACCAGCAAATCTCATTTCCAAACCCCGCCATTTTTCCGCTCGTTTATCCACGCCCATCGAGAGAGTACCGCGCTACGGCGCGCTCGGCCAACGTCGCGGTATTCCCTTCCTTTCACGTGTATACACGTGTGTATATCCGGCCGCAGTGCGCGACTGTCGCGTGCACAAGAGTGCGATGACAGCGGAAGGGAGAGCGTTTTTACCCAATAAAGTTGGTGAGCGTAATAGGAATGTCGGCATTAACGAGTTCATTCGGCGCTTATCGGGCATTGCCGGCCTGCGACGTGTCATGATAAGGTTTTATTCATTTTGAAATCCATAGAATATCTTGCGCATATTTTTCGTGCGATTATTAATCGCGCCGGCATGCCAAAAATTACCGCCGTGCCAAAATAAATTACACGATTCTAAATAATATTAGATGTACGACTTCCATCCTCCCCCCCTCCTGAAAGCTGATATGAAAATTAATTTCACAAAAATATCTTACCTTGGGAAAAACTTCTTATAGTGATTTTATCTGACTGATTTTTTACGATTACGTAAATAAATTTCATGAACAAAAAAAAACACTTGGCTTAATCTCTAAATCCAATTTAAATTTATGTATTTGATATGATACGGTATAGTTAGTATTTTAAAAAGGAAATAAAAAAACACAAAATTAAACCGCGCAATTAATTGTCCAATTTCCAAACATTCTTTGTGAGCCTCAGTTACGAAGTTTTGCACGGTACATGGTACCGA